CCTGGTCCCTTAATACTTTCTTTATACACACCTAATCAGTGTGTGTGTGTGTGTGTATATATATCTTTCTAGAGACATATAGACATATATAATCTATTTACTTACTTATTTTTGTTCACATGTTGATTTATATACTTACCTTGTGAACATTGTATTTTGGAAGTTTTCTTTTTTTTAAAAATGCCAAACTTAAAAATATAGGCTATATAGCCTTATTCAGGTATGAATTATTTCTATTAGCTTCTTATAACACTGACATTAGTTTAAGATCTGCCCCTCACCTCCCACCCCTGCACTTTGTGGAGCAGAATTACATGCGAGTCTCTGGGAGGTTCCATGGGTATGCGTCAAGTTCTGCCTTTGCTGTGTAATGTCAGTGGGCATGCGGTGTTTCTGAACCCCTTACTGTTTTCACGTCCACAGAGTAATGCTTTCTTGTTCTTGAGGAATTCTCATTTGTACATCCTGGGCTCAGAGCAGATTCCCTTGTGTTTTCTTTCCTTATTCCATCCTTATACTCTCCTCCACTCACTTAGTTTTACTTCTAAATTTCCATTTTCTGTGAGCTTTTATATTTACATTCATATTTGGTTTTATTTGACTTTTTTTTTTTTTTTTTTTTTTTTCTGATCCTAGTTGAATGTGTAAGTTTAAGAGTGCTGCGAACCATCTGAGACTGTTTTCTTTTAAATTTTACTTCTATCGAGTCAGCAAAAGGTACTGATTGAGAGTATGGGATCTGGAGCCAGATTGCCTGGTTTGAGGCCTAAAAACATGACCTTGGGCAAGTTACTTAACTTCTTTCTGCTTTAGGTTTCTTACTTTGTTCAACAGTATCTACTTTAGAGATGTGATAATTAAATTATATAACATTGTTGCATAGTGCCTATCAAATGTTAGCTATTTGTATTTTTATGATATAGTTGTGATTATATTTGATTTTTATAGGATTTAATTTAGCCTTTTTAACATCATAATTTTAAATATATTTGTGTATATTTTAAGGAACGTTACAAATCTTCATTCCAGGATATAGCCTTTTCTTTTAAATAGTAAGAATGAATCTATAAGCTATCAAGATAAAATAGTAAGTTTTGAATATGAGGATGATTGAATATCAAAAAAAAAATCAATTCTCTTTCCTTCCCTTGTTGGTTGAGAATAGTGTGTATTTTTTTTCATAGTGTTGTTTTGTGTGTGTGTGTGTGTGTGTGGAGCAGGACTGTTCAGTAGAATTGTAATGCAGTAATTTAAAATTTGCTAGTGGCCACATTAAACAAATGAAAAGAAATAAATTTAATTAATTTTGTTAATATATTTTACTTAACTTTAGATATCTAAATTCTTAAAATTTCAGCATGTAACCAATGTAAAATTATTGAGCTATTTTACATTCTTATTTTTGCATTAAGTCTTTGAAATCTATTGTGTATATTTCCACTTAACAGCACACTTCAGTTCAGACTAGCCACATTTCAAGTGTCCAACAGCCACATGTGGCTAGTGGTTACAGTATTAGCACAGTTATAGTATATAAACTACTTTTAAATTTGTCCTCTTTGGTTACGGAGGGTTTTATGATATTTTGCAATAAATGATAAAACTAGATGCATCTAATAGGCAAACAGAAGTCTACGTTTGTAGTGTGAAGACAGCTATGGGAGAGGTTTGGGTTTGGGAGTGATCGGTGAATATAGAGATGATAATTGAAATCTTGAAGTCAAGGACAGAATGAAACCATAATATCCCTAAGAATGAAGCTCTAGGGATTTCCTAGGAAAGGAGCCAGGTTAAAATAGGGAACACACCCCATAGACTGGAGGAGAGCTGCTAGATGGTGGCATCCTGGAAACCAATGGTAGGGAGTTTCAAGGAGGCATGGTGGGCAGGACTGCCAAATGCCACAGTCTAGCAGAGTGAGGAGTGAAAATAGGTCATGATTAGCAAACTTTAGCAATGGCCGTTTCAGTAGAGTGACGGCTAAGGAAGCCACGTTGTGGTAGTGTGAGCATTGCTCGGAAGTTCAAGTGAAGGCAGTGGGTCTATATTGTTGTTTTATGAATCTTGGCAGGATAGTTGGTAGTGTTGAAAGAAGTGTGCTAATCATGAAGGAGAAGGGACCAGTGGAGAGCCAAAGATTGAAGGTAGAGGAAAAGGAGAATGATGGAACGAGTTTTTAGGAAAGGCATGAATGGATAGGGTTCAGTGCACAGGCAGAGGGATTAGTAATGGAACAGAATTACGAAAGAGGAGTGAAAGCATTATGAGACAGGAGAATTTGTATATGATAAAGTGGGTTCTTAGTTGTAGGCAACAGCTAGTTTAAGTTGAAGACAGCTAGCTAGTTTAAGCAAAAAGGGATATGTTACACTCAATTAACAAAAGTGCCAAGGAACTAACCTTGACTGTTAATAAGCTAGGAACAGCATAAGCCAAGGGAAACATCCAGTTACACTATTTTAGTAGAAAATCCACTGTCACTTGCTACTTGGGAACCTGTGATACTAGGGATCATTTAATTAGACTATCCAGCTGATTGTCTCAGAAGAACAAAATGCCTTCACTGTAAGATTTGATCTCATTGGAGGTGGTCACCACCTTGACTTATTCACTCCTGTTTTCTAAGTCTTACATGGATTTTTCTGATTGTTTGAATCCAGGTCCCATAGAAGGCATGATGCAAATGCATCTGGGAAATGGAGTTTTTAGCTTTGGAGGAAGCTAGAGAGCATGCTAGAGGTGGAGTGCAGCCTAAGTGGTTCTGGCTCTGATCTGTCATGAATTGGAGTTGGGATTGATCCAGGGTAGCAGTCATCTGAAGATTTGAGCACCCTGGGTGATCCACCTACAAGATGGCTCACACATAACCCTGTTAAGTGGATTCTGGTGGTTTGGCAAGAGGCCATGTGGACTGCCCCATAGAACTGTTTGTCCCCATGATGTGGCAGCTGACTTTACCCAGAGTGAGTGATCCAAGAGGGCAAGGAGCTAGCTCGAGTATCTTTTAGGACCTAACCTCAGAAGTCAGAAACCGTCACTTCCAGGGCATTCTGGTTTTCGTGCAAACCAGCCCTCATGCAGTGAGAAGGAACTACCAAAGTCATGAATTTCAGAAGGTGAGGATTTGGGGGCCCTCTTGGAGATTGGCTACCATGCCTCCCCACATTCCCCCTGCCTGCCTTCCTTTAACAGCAGAAATTGATCAAATTTGTCTGTAGAAGGGAAAAACGACTTAAAAAAAAAAAAAGAATGAAACTTGCCAAGAATTTGGATAGAATGTGGTTCTGTGTTACATCTTAAGGTTACAAAGTGCACGGGATCTGCCAGTTTTTTAAAAGATTCAGAAATGCTGTTCAGTTACTTGTTCTCAGGCTTTCTCTTCTCAAGGCAGAGTATCAGTACTGATATCCAGTATCATAAAATCATAACTCAGTCTAGGTGTATGTATTTTGATGTTTGGAGATAATTAGGTGGTGATACTTTGTCTTCCAGAATAGCTCTCCTGTCCTAGTCTCTGAAATGAAGGTTTGACTAGCTGTCCCTGTGGTCCTTTCTCAGTCTCCATTCGCTAAGACCCTGACTAACTTCGAGAATTGGACTGAATATCTCTGTGACATACTAGATAGATGTAGGGCATTCTCCCATGCCTCGGTCACATCATCTTATTTCTTTCATATCATGTATTGAAATGATATTGCTGGTGTATATGTCTCCCTGCATCCTTCCTCCCCTTCCCAAAATTAAACTCCTAGCCAGGCAAATTTTGTCTTGTTCACTGCTGAATTCCCAACAACCAGTGCAGTGCCTGGTAGATGCTCAGGGGGTGAATGTCTAAAGAAATTATTTTTCAAGAAAATATACTATAAGATCATTATTTGTAACAGGCCATCTCAAAAGTGTTGTTTTGTTTTCTCCTTTTACTTGACTTATGTCTTCTCAGCCTTTCCCTTATCTTTTTTATCCTTTTTTTTTTTTCTGTTGTTTTTTAGTGACACTCCAGCTCAGGATTCTTTCTATGGCTGGAACTGTTTTTGTCTTGTTCATAGTTGGTGCCTGGAAGGTTCTCCATCTTGATTTCTTTCTGATATAGGTTATTCGGACTCTGTAACCACTGTTGAGGATAATTCTTTTAAGAGATGCATTTGGTAATCCTGTGATTTTGTGCTATGTAGTCTGTCTGGGAGCCACATTTCTTATTGCTTTGCTAGCTTTTCCTTTTTGCTTGTCATATAGGAGGATCCTTTTTGGGTGAGTTACTATGTTAGTCTTGACCCTGTCAATATTGATATACCTAAGGATTCTGACTTTAATATATACAGAACAGGAAAGTCACAATATCTACCCTTGGGTATATGGTAAGAGCTTGCTCTCTTCACTGTGCATGGCTTGCAGAGAACACAGGGCTATGTAAGTTAAGTAACAGTTTAAATCTGATATGATGCTCTCACAGAAAGTAGTGTTCTTATACAGATACAGATACAGAAGTGTCTGTGTACCTCCATTGTTTCCCTGGAGTGAAAACCCCAGACCTGGACTGATTATCCATATGCATTCCAACCTGGCTCTGAGATCTTAGACTGTCCTCAGCAGAGGTTCTTGACAGTTTTTTGGATTATGGAACTTTTTGCAAAGCTGACAAACTATTGACCTTCTCTCCAGAGAGACATCCATTTACATAAACCCACAAATTTTACATATATCATTCAGAAGTGCATAGACTCCTAAAGTTCACCCACATACCAAGGTTAAGGACCTCTAATCTGAATTCTTCTTCTTGTTTTTGAGTTAGAATTGATTTGGGAAACCTTGGAAAGATTGGTGGGGGGCAAAGGGGAAGGACTCAAAACATCTCTCTCCTTGGAGGTTCGTCTCCCATCTTGGAATATCCAAGAATCAGACTATTGGGTCATTCAAGTAAACTCTTATCCAGGTCAGGATTCAGAATTCAGGCTGGGGTTATTTTGAAGATAACATTTTAATTATGTCCTTTGATCTCATAGGTACCTCTGCATTAGCCAGATTGGATATATGTAAAGAGAAAAATCAGTATATCTGGATCATCAGGTAAGCAAATGGGACTTTGTTTTAATTTTTCCATTGATTCAGTCCTCTGTCAATATGTGGCCATTTCCTATCATCTCTTCTTTCTTTACTGCAGGGTGGGTCAGTGAGATGACAAATATTTCTAAAGAGAAGGAAGCAGCCATTCTTAAGTTTTACCAGATTACTTTGTATGCTGCTTGAAGTCAGTTTTCTTTATTTTAATTTTATCTCATTATTATTTCATATATTCACATTTATATAGCAGATAAAAATTCCCTGCTCTTCTTTTTATGTATATACTTTGGAGAGTTGTGGACAGCTCTCATATTGTTCCTTGGTTGTCAGCCAAGTTGTACACATTTAACTCCTTTAATCTTTCTTTGTAATTCAGTCAGCTTGGTGGCTTTTTCTAGATTTCCCCCTATTTCCTCTGCATCACTAATAAACAGAAAAAACGTGTTGTCGCCTGGCTTCTTCTACACCTTTCGTTCTTTTTACTTCCTGGTTTTGCATCAGATTCCTTGTTGAACTAAAGCCAGCCAGCATCAGTCTTTGGGCCACTTTGGCAAGACATGAATGCCTTGCCTACAACTATCAGTGTCCCGCGCAGTGATAGCATCATCAGTGTATCCCAAACGGAAGAAAGGAAGTGGGAAAGGAGAAGAGTGAGGAGCAAAATAATGCATTTTTCGATTCTATGGCAGACTGGCCCTTGCCACCCAGAGTAAATCATTATACCTGAAACCTTTATCACAGGTTTTGTCCTCCCAAAGGGTTATGCACAGCACTAATTTGAATAATGAGAAGCATGTACTGTGTGTTGTTTGAGGTTTGGCCACCGTTCTCACCTGGTTTCTTTTCCACATTCTCCCTCTACCACCGCCTTTCCCAACATTGATTACTTGCTATCAGAATCTGTGGCCGTGAGCGAAACGGGGCGGGGGATCATTTTGTTGGAAATTAGATAAGCTCAGGTGGTCACACTCCGCGCCTCTGTCTGTAACATCTGAGGCAAGTGCTTTAGTTCTTGCTATTTCTGTAACAGTCGTTGGTCTTCTTTTAGCAGCTGATTCCGTGGAGATGGGCAGGAGGAAGGGACTAGTGGACCTTTGGTACTATTTATCACTGCTGTATTAGTTTCACAACTCTTTTCCTGTCCTGATGGGCAGGGAGAAGCATACTGCTTCTAGATGATGCTGAGCTTAGTGTAAAATATGCCAGCATGGGATCTGGGCTTGTCCCAGTTTATTTTTTTCTTTTCGTTTGGTTTGTAGAAAATGGACTTCTACCTCTACTTATCTTGTGCATTAGAGAGAAAAGGGTCATACCTCTAGGAGCTAATGGCTTATTGGTGTTTTTAGTCACCAGATTGAGGTAGTATATTTAGTTGAGGCTTCCAATAGCACACACTTGGCTTTCTCATTTGTGTTAGCTTTGCTTCTAGTACAGAATTGAATAGGAGAGAAGAGACGGTTTTCCTGTTTGTGTCTGTGGCAACTTTCTAGATGATTTGTGGTTTAATCCTTTAAACATTTTTGATCATTTATCACCTTTTTCCCTGTAAAGGCATAAAATATTCCGATTCTACTGTTATAATCTCTTAATCAGATTATTTAAGTTTGGAGAAATCAAGGTCAGAATTACAGCTGACACAGTAGCCTCTGAATAGTGACCTAAAAATTATAACACTTAGATTAGTTCTTTTTTTATTTTTACCTGATTTTATGGCCTTCCTTCATCTATCAGATTTTAGACAAGATCATGTGATTGTGAATCACATATTGCTTGGTCTCTGGCTTCTTAAACAGGTAAGTATGTACCTGGACCCCTTTTAAGTCTGATTTTTAAAAAATGTTAATCTCTCATGTGGCTTTCAACTGCTGACAATATTGTACTCAAGCTAATTTCTTTAGGCAAATGATAGATTCTTTAGCATAACTTTTGTTTCTTGAGTCTTTTCAGGACTTGTCAAACATAGCAAAATGCTAACCTGACTTTAAGAGGCGAAAAATCCACCTCCCCCTGCCCCGTGCTATATTATTCTTTGTTCTCTATGTGCATCAAAGTGACAATCCCACACTGTCTCAATTGAGGGAGTCTAGCACAAAATAAAAAACAGCCTGGCACTGTTCTAGGCTGGCAGCCAAAATGTTTTGTGTAGCTTGGTTCTGGCAGTGGTTTTCGTGAGGCAGAGGGTCTACCCTCCCAGCACCACTGAAGGAAGGCAAGCAGCCTTAGTCCTCCTTATCCCATTTCTTTTCCTTCATTTTCCTCTTTCTTCATGTAGAACACCATTGTAAAAAAACACAAACAATATATCTTAAATAGAAACATCATTCTCCTCACAACCTCCACATTTACGAAATGGCATTGTTCCTTCTAGAAGCTTGTGTTTAGATTTCCCTTTTCCAGCTCTTAGAGATTTTCTTCACAGTTGCATTTTTGCCACACGTTTCAGAAAACCCTTCTGAATATTGCTAACTTTGGTCATGTTGACATAGTATTTTTGATTGGTTGGAATCTTGTCTTCCTTCATAGCTTATTATTTGAATGGAAACTCTTGAATGATACTTGCTTGTATTATATGGATCTTTAAGCCAAGATATCTCTTGTCAAGACCAAACGTTTGCCATTGTTTTCTATTTTTGTCTAAAACTCAGGGTCAGCTCATAGCTTTTGCAGATTGAATACTCATTTTTAGAATGTCTGATAAGTGTTGCTAGGTGAGCAAATGAACTTCCGTGAAATATAAAGATGTGTATTTAAATTTTTTTCCTTTGAAATGAAAATGCAAGATAGAACACCGTGTTTTTAGGTTTCCCAATTCTCTCTAAATTATAGCTAGTGACCTATTATTACAAGGGGTGTGAAAATGTAGCATTATGATTTTTAAGTGATGATTTGAGCAGGAGACTAGGTTTTCACTATGAGCAAGCATTCTATGAAATTTCGTAGAATGTTCCTCAAAATGTAAATGTGTTTTCTGTTGTATTAAGCAAAAACAAATGACTGACTTTCAAGTGGTCTATTTTAAAAATTAGTGTTTTGTAATCAAGATAAGAATAAATAGGCAGAATATGTTTTCTAAGGAGGCAATTTATATTATTTTGACTGATTTTTATGGATACATTAAGATCAACTTGTACAATCTAAGAGTTGTTTTTTTCCCCCTAGAGATTTATTTTTAATTTAGAAAATGCTTTAAAATCATGAAAAGGGTTTGTAAAACAGGTATAGGAGAATTATGCATTAAATAAACTCACCTGTTATTTTCTCTCATTCTCAAGACAGGTTCAGCAACATATTGGCTCATTAATTTAACAAAACAAACAAGTACTCATATTGATTTGTATGTATAATGCACATGTTAATAAATGCTACAATTCTCTATCCCCCCCATTCTGTTTTTTTAAAACTTGTATTTAAGTGCCTATTTTTCTGTTGAGTAGCTAAGATGAATCTGGGTGGGATGCTTGTTAAGTTATATCAATTAAATCTTTAGGTCAACATTTTATGTTTCAGAATTATGACATTTTTTAGAAGGGAAGCCAGTGAAACTTTTTTCTCTTGGTCCCGTTAAGTGCATGACTGTCTTGAATCCGCTGTGCCAAGGTGTGATAAATAGAGACCAAAAACTTATTCTCTGTGTTCGCATATATTGAATAATGTTCATTGCATATTAAATACTATGCATCAACTTTAAATACATTTTCTCCAGTGGTATGATTTTTATTTGCAATTAAGCCCTTTGTCTTTTCTGCGGTAGGAACGTATCTTTCAGTGACTTAGGAATTGCAACATGAATCGTTGTATTTATTTGTTTATTCTAACTATACACAGAGGCATAGTAGAAATATATTTAAGATCTGTGATGTTTGAGTATTTGAGCAGTTGTTGCTGTTGTTGTTTTGTTAAATGCTATTGAGTTATTTTTGTAGGTAATAAATTTACAGTTTTGTTTAATTCAGTTTTGTTTAATTCAAAGCTTCTGTATCTTTATAGTTTGATGTTACACAGTTTGTAGGAATTACTGTATAGTAACTTAATCATATTTGTAGCAACATGGAAAAATAGCTTTATTGAGGGATGCCGGCAAAGTTGGATAAATACTAAATTTATTATTTTAACTAGGATTTTATTTAATTATATTAAATATCATGTTTATAATTATGAATGGTGTTTTACTTCATCTGAATATCAGTACAGGTTTTGAACCTTATTCCTGGGTAGGTGGTTTGAATATTTTGTTTGATATCAAATATTGGTAACATGTAAGATATTGATTTCTAAGTTTAAATATTAGTCCTCTTTCCTTATGCATGTGGTACACACTTCAGTGTTAAATTTCATTAGAGAGTATTGCATGAAAGTGTATGTACTAATTCAGTTGTTTGATTCCCCCTCTAATTTTTGATACATTTTAATTCCCCCTGCCTGACATATTATCATTCCGTAGAATACTGTCACAACTATGTCATATGTTTTCTGTGGCATCTCACACTGCTCACTTTTTATCCATAGTACCATATGAGTTCCCCCTTTTTCAGGTTTACACTGCATATTTTAAGCTGCTGATAGTGTAAGTACATTGCAAGGTAAAGTGACATTTAGCTTTTTGAGCTAGTCTCAGTTTTAGCATGAGAGCAGGGTGGTTTTTTTTTGTTTTTTTCCTTTTTCCTCTGCCCTAAATCTTCCCGTATTTCCCATTAAAACAAAGAAATTCAACAAACAAGCAAACAAAGAAATTCAGAGATTTGGCTACAGCAGCAATTGAAATGCATCAAAAAGTGGCTACTACAATACAGTTTTATTAATGAATGATCTACATTGGTTCCAGCTGTGTCCATGTGATTAGGCCTTCACCAGGCAGCAATGGGTATTTCCCTATTGCTTTTATTTGATTTCCAAGAATGTGTCATCTGTTACATCAGCCCCTGCCAATATGCCCCCTGTAAAAGTGTTTTGTTTTCTTTTTCCTTCCAAATTTCTGAAGCATAAGTTGAATACCCACACATATCCCTGCCGAAATATTGTTTCTAGTGAATAGTGGCCTAGGTTTCTATGCCTGGTGTTGCATACCAAAATTCCAGAGTATAAATTAAAGTAAATGTTTATTAAGTTTATCAGTAAATTCTCAGAAGTGTGGTTGCCTGGTAATGCTAAAGATAGACTATTTTCGCTTTTACGTTTCCATCTTAATATTTTATTACAGTGGTATAATGTGTTATAGAGGTGGACAAGCTTGCAGATTGAAATGGGGATCGTCCAGATTGTTCCCTTCCCTGGACCATATGGTATAGTTCTAAAAGCCTTTTGTACGCTGTCTGTTCAGTTTATTGTAAACCCAATCTTTAGTGCACCTAAAAAGATAACCAAATAAAAATGGGCCTGAGGAAAAGGACTTCATATCATGTAAGGGCCCCAGAAATACTTGTTTTAAAGGAAATAACTGCAGATGAAATTGAAGTTGAGATGATATAAACAAAGGAGGCTTATCATTCTCTGAATATGCTTTTGAGTTCATATGGATTGTCCAAGATTGCCTTTGAATGCTGGCTTTAAAATGAAGGAATTTATGTTATCTGACTATACTTATTATCCTCATTTATCCCATTCTTGCAGTCTCATGAAGAAGAAAGTGTAGCTCTTATCTGTTTTACAGAGGAAGCTTCTACCTAGGAACAGTGCCAAAAATATATATAAGCCCCAGGTTTTATGAATATAGGGTTTTTTTTTTGTTTGTTTTGACTGATTTCAGTGAGAATTTAGGGCTAGAACTTTCAATAATTTCATCCTTATAACCATTACCCCTACTCAGAGATTATTGAAAAGTTTTTAATTCCTTTTCATCTCCCCTTCCGTCCCCCTCCCCGCTTGACCTATTATAGTTCCGTAATTCTATTTTAGGAAAATGGGATAAGAGATTGCTTATCCCATATGCTAAGACTCTTTAAAAGCTGGGAATGAGATGATTTCTCCTGACTCTCACTCCCCTTCCCTCCAAAGTAAGCTACTGTTAGAGAAGAGCATTAGACATTACCCATTGCTTTTTGGCACAAGAGATTTGTGCTGAAATTCAACCAAATGAGTGGGGGGAAAAAAAGGAGAGCCTGTGAAGAGCATGATTCTTTACTCTATCATTACCCTGAACCACTGAAAGGGTAACTGAGAGGAACTCAAATGTTATTGGAATGTGTAATTTCCTTTTGAATGGCCACAGTGAAATATATTTGAACAAAAAAGGCAGAAAAAGTATATGTGCCTTATGGAGCTGATGGTGATTGAAATTAATGAATCTTCACAATTCTCTATGATTGAACTTATTCCAGGAATGGTACACATTCAAAATCTGTCCAACAGAAACCTATAGAGGGTATTACCTTAAGGAATTTACTAGAAGATAGGTAGAATAGCACAATAATTTAATAATGCTGGTGGTAAATTGGACACAGTATATTTTGGGGATATATATTTTTTCAAGTTTAAAAAATTTTAAAAACAGTAATTGATTTCAAGTTGCAAAGGAAGTCTTTCCTATTTAAAAAAATACTGTTATTTTGTGGTCTTTCGTTTATTTGGAAGCTGCTTTCTAAAGTGCTCACACAATTGAAAACATAGTTTATATTTTGAAATAAGCTAGGTTCCTTGTTCCCTCTCTCTCTCTCTATTCTCTTTCCTTACACTCCTTTCTTCCTAACCTTTGGCTGTTTGTATGTGTACATTACATACATGAATGATACATACCACACTATAAAAAATGTTATTTTATAGGTTTGAGGATCAGTGAGGAAGAGAAATAAAAATCTTGTAATGACTATGCAACAAACGGATTTCTGTGGAGGAATTAGAACATGCTTATTTAAGTAATCTACACTACTGCAAATTGTAGAAGTGCAAATTCAAAATTGTTTTTATTTCTTCTGGCTAGGAAGACCTAGATCATAGCCTAAATCGAGTTAGACAGTCTTAACTTAAGTAACTCCTCTTTGCTGCAGCTTCCTTTTAATGGTAAAAACACCTCTGGCTCCAGGTGGTGGAAGATCTTACCGAAGTGACTGAAATGAGAAAGGTTTTTATTTGTCTCATGTCCTAAGAAGTCTGGAGGCAGTTAGTTCGCAGGAAACGGATGCCATCAGGGACCCAGGTAACATCTCCTTCTCTCCCATCCTTAGCACGTAACTTTTGCCTTTTATTTCACAGATGACTGTTAGACCTCCAGAAATTGTTGTTGTCTTCAAGCAGGAAGATAAGTGAAGGATGCTTAGAAGCCTTTTCCTCCTGGGAAGCACCCCCTTTCCCTCATGCCCCCTTTCTTTTTTTAGAAAAGGATGTCTGGTCATGGGAGACATCTCATTGGCCGAAAGTGTATCACATAACTACCTCTAGCATGAGAGGAAAGTATTTTGGCCATCTTGCTTCTATTCTGGAGGAAGGCAGGGAGAAGAAGAACTGGAATGAATGTCCAGTGAGCTGTCCCAAAGTTGTCCCAAGTAGTTGTCTACCATACTTCTCCATTCTTTTGTATAATTAGTTGCTTAGACCTTTGAACTTTCTGGGTACTTGGTGTCTATAGTAACTTGTTGTTGGTTCCCTTTTGACATCAAGTACGTATGTTTTGGTTTTGTAACGTTATTTCTGTGTCTGACGACAGGAACTGTAATTGGGTCATCTTGGTGTCTTTACATTTAGCACAGTGCCTAGATGTGGACCTTCAGTTAACAGTTGTTGAATAAATGAATGGATGAATATTAAGAAATATATTTGTAATATTATTGGTGTAAATCATTTATGCATATAAAGGATACAGTAATATTTTTAATTTGTATTTTATTTTTTGTTTTTGCTCCTCTTTTTATTTTTACTTTTTAAATTATTTTTTAATTTATATTCAATTTAGTTAATATAATAGTGTATAATTAGTTTCAGGGGTAGAATTTAGTCATTCATCACTTGCATATAACATCCAGTGCTCATTCCATCAAGTGCCCTCCTTTTTTTTTTTTTTTTTTAAGATTTTATTTACTTATTTACTTGAGAGAGAGAGAGAGAGAGAAACAGCATGAGAGCGGAGAGGGTCAGAGGGAGAAGCAGACCCCCCGCTGAGCAGGGAGCCCGATGCGGGACTCGATCCCAGGACTCCGGGATCATGACCTGAGCCGAAGGCAGTCGCTTAACCAACTGAGCCACCCAGGCACCCCTCAAGTGCCCTCCTTAATGCCCAGCACCCAATTACCCCATCCCCCTACCTACCTCCCCTCCAGCAACCCTGGTTGTTTCCTGGTTAGTAGTCTCTTATGGTTTGTCTCCCTCTCTGTTTTCATTTTATTTTTCCTTCCCTTCCCCTATGTTCATCTGTTTTGTTTCTTAAGTTCCACCTATGAATGAAATCATATATTTGTCTTTCTCTGACTGACTTATTTTGCTTAGCATAATACACTCTAATTCCATCCACATCATTGCAAATGGCAAGATTTCATTCTTTCTGATGGCCAAGTAATATTCCTCTGTGTGTGTGTGTGTGTGTGTGTGTGTGTGTGTGTATACACACCACATCTTCTTTATCCATTCATCTGTCGATGGACATCTGGACTCTTTCCATAGTTTGGCTCTTTTGGACATTGCTGCTATAAACATTGGGGTGCATGTGCCCCTTCAAATTACTATGTTTGCATCCTTTGGATAAATACCTAATAGTGCAATTGCAGGGTCTGGACTACATTTTATTGATTTGTTTTTGCTAAGGGAACATCAAATTGTCAAAGTTGTTTTGAGTGAAAGATACTCAGTTACAAAGGTTATAGGAAAATCCTCAAAATGACTTAGTACCAGTGCTTTGGTTGGAGTACATTATCCCATGAGTAAATACATACATAATTTCTTTTTAACTTTTTTGCGTAGACTATTGTTTAAATAAGGATATCTTGCAGTTGTTATATGTTAAGATCTCCATTTTTGAAGAAGTAAGCAATTTGAACTTATTAACATGGCAATCGGGTAATTTGATAATTTATATTATTGATGTTAACTTACAAGAAGGAGTTATTAGATCCTTGGTAGCCTCATGGCAAAGAGCACACTATATCACATTTTATCCCAGATGGCATTTTGGGTATTTCTTTTAGTTCTTAGAGTGACAGCTTCCTGTTTTTTCAATACATATGCAAATAGTAATGTACGATAGAAAAATATGTCTACAAGAAACCCGAAGAAGTCATCTTTACATCTGCTTGCTTTACGTAAACTCTCTTAGAGGAAAGCAGGCTACCTCTTCATTCAAAATCTGCAGAAGAAATGGCTGAGTGTAACCTGATTGTGTGAATCAGTGCCTCACAACTCGTCCAACGTCTAACTTAAATTCCTTTTGTTATATTTCCATTCTGTTTCTGTTATTTTGGCCTCAGAGGACAAAAAAAACAACTATCCACTATCTCCCATACAACATTCCCTATATAGCACCATTTTAATAAATTCCTCCCTTTTCATTCATGATGGCAGGATTGTTGGTACCTTAATTACTAAAACAACCTGTGCATGGATAGAACTTATCTCTAAGCAGGGAATGTATTCAAATATCTGGAACTTAAATTTTCTATCTGAGCAGTTTATAGTCACTGGAAATAAAGGAAGCCCTTTTAACATTCAGAAGCAGTCCTGGAGAGAAAGTTCCTACATAATCACAATTTAGGCAAGATAGTTTCCTAGATTTGGACTCAGAATTGGGTATTGATAGTCTGTTTTGGCACTTACACTGCTCTTTTGGTCATACTTTTGGAGGGAATAATTTATGGGCCAACACCATGCACTTAAAAAAGTGTGTTCAGCCCTTTTTTCACCTTTATATTCTCAGTCATCACTATAGTATCTGGCACATAATAGGAACTAAAATTTTGTTAAATGAATTGTTTTAGTATCCCTTGGTAATGCTTCTTAATACAGGTAGCTTTATGCTTTACATTTCTTCATTCCTCTTTAATTTAATTTTATGCTGCCTAACGAGCACTCATAGTTAATGTTTTGTTGTCTTTATCTTCTTATTCAATAATATCTCCAGTGATTTGTAACTTACCTGAATAGTTAAATCAGTGGTAATGCCTGGATAATTCACTTTATGATGCTGCTGTAATCTTTAATCCAGGGATATCTTCCCCCCCCCCCCCATAAAGTGAGGACTTATTGTAGCCTATTGATGAGAATTCAAGAGTACGTTAATTGAATGCGTATTGTGTATAAAGCACTTCGCTGGATTATGAATAGATATAAACATAAATTGTGTACAAACTTTGCTACCAAGGAAGTGACATCTGGTTGGGCAGACACACATGTATACTATGTAATTATGGTATAGGTGGGATTGTGGTAACTGCTCTAATTGAGTATAAGCCAAGTTTGGTGGTACATAGAGGAAGGAATAATTGCTTCTGACTGGCTGAATATGGGTGAGCAGTTGACGTAAGCTTTTGTAGATGAGATGGAATTTGAATGGAGTCTTGAACTATATGTAGGACTTTGACAGGTGGTAAAGTGGAAGGGTTCTAGGAAGAAGAATGCACTAACAGTGCTTGGAGGTGGGAATGAGTATGGAATGTTTTAAAAAACATTGTGTTTGGATAACAGTGTGTCTGGAATTGAGGCTAAATAGGAGCTTGGAACCAAATTGTCAGGGGTCTTATTTCTTGTTAAGTATTATTTTCTCTTCTGTAGAGCAAATCATAGGTGTTTGAGTAGAGGACTGACATTAAGGTATCTGAAACTTTCAGAAGAATGGAAACAGATTATATGTAGCGGCAGGTGGGGAAGACAGTCAGAAGCTGAGGCCCAATTGAGGTTGAAGATGATGAGGGAGGCTTGGAAGGAGGACCTGATATCAGAGGTCTGGGGTAGGTCAGCTAAAAGCCCTGCGGGTTGTTGATTGGGCGAGTTGTGCAGCAGCGTCCTGGCTCCCAATAGAGGCGCTTTCAATTGTGGGCCTTCTTTCCACTTACATCGTTTTGGAATACTGCAGAACATGCCACCTTTCCTCACACCTGGGAAATCAAGTATTTTAGCCTGCATTTGAGAAGAAAGTACAAGGAGAAAGGGGTTGAATGGTTGTTGAGGGAACCAAGAGTTATCTGCACAGTTCTTCATCTCCTCTTTCTAATGGGGTTCTTGGCCCTCCAGACTTTCTTTCTGGCTTATTGGCTCATTGTCTTGAAGTAGAACTTGCTTTTGGTCCCTTTTTGAGCCCCAGCTCAAATGAGTGATAACATTTATCACTCAGTATTATAATTATATCCAGGTCTGAGGCCAGAAACTGTATTTGGGTCATCTTGGTATCACAAAATACTTAGCATAACTTTTAGAATGCAGTCATTCAATAAATGCATGTTAAATAAAGCACATTTGTTTATGCTTTGCAGTCACAGACCTTCTTGCTCTCTGTACAGGGCAAGCATGCTCATCTCAGGATCTTGCTGTGCCTGCCGCATAGAAGGCTTTAGATCCAGATCTCTTTAGCTCCCCCGCTCTTCTGGTTTCTGTTTAGATGTCATCTCGTCAGCGAGGTGTTCTCTGACAACCTTATATAAAATACCACCCTTTCCCAGCCCCAGGCCTCAGCGGCTCTTTTTATCCTGTATTACCTGTGCTATGTTTTTTTTATAGCACATGCACCCTCTGATGTACATCTACTTGATGATCGTCTTTTTACTCCAGTTAGAAAGGAATTTCCTGTGATAACAGGAACATTTATTTTGTCACCTAATTTATCCACAAACACCTGGGACAATGTTGGGCACATAGTGGGCACAATAAATATTTGCTAAATGAGTGAATGAACGGCAAAGATCAGACTGGAAAGGATAATAAACACGAATATGCCGGTTTGTTTACAGATTTATGCAAGCAATGGTATTGTTGTTATAACTTTTATAATATCAAATCGTTAGTATTGCTCTCAGAAAAATAAAAACAAATTCTATTTTCTATAGATTGCACCTGTGAAATCTAATTATAGATTAGTTTTTGTTTTAAAAATATTTGAATGCCAAGCATATCCAGTCAGAAAACACTTTTATTATCCATGCCAGCTTAATTTTTTAGGCAGTGAAATGGAAGACTGTCATTTCAGCAAGCAACTTATTTTCATTTGTGAGAGTGGAATAT